CTTTAAACTGCACAAACTTATTAAACACTTCTGACTTTTGCTTTAGAAAATAAACCCAACACATCCTGCTAAAATCATCAATAAACAACAGAAAATATTTGCTACCATTGATAGATTCTGTTTTCATAGGGCCACAAATGTTAGAGTGTATTAGTTGTAATGGTTATGTAGCCCTCCAATTACTTTTCTTTGAAAAAGGGAATTTGGATTGCTTTCCCTTTTGACAAGCATCACACACAGAACCACAATCTTCTATTGCAGGTAAATCAGCAACCATTTCATGCGAATGCATCAGTTTGAATGAACTGTAATTATAATGGCCAAATCTTTTATGCCAAATTTCAGATTCATCAACAATACTAGGATAAGCATGCACCCTAGTATGCTTCCATTCCACTAGAAAACTCCTATCAAACATCTTTACCGAAAACAATCTAGTACCAGACTTGTCAACAATTTCACACATTTTGTCATGAAAATTCAGAACATAACCATTCTCCAATAATTGGCCAACACTGATCAAATTATGACTTATATCAGGTACAAATAACACATCATGAATATATTTAATACCTGTAGAAGTCTTTGTTGCAGCTACACCTTTGCCTTTCACTTGCACCAGATCTCCATTTCCTAATCTGACTTTGGAGGAGTAACTTCTGTCAATGCTTTTGAAGATACTCAAATTTGGTGTCATATGGTTTGTGCAACCACTATCAATCAACCATAAATCACCATTCATTGCAGCGACACAATTCTTTTCTACCTTTGATGCCATGATCAACTTCTCTTCATTTTCATCCACAATTTCAGCAACTTTAGCTTGCTGTACATGATTTGCTTGTTGCTTGCAAACCTTTTCAACATGGCCAAACTTCTTGCACTTTCTACACTACACTCCTGGTCTAAACCAGCAATGATAATCCAAGTGACCCTTCACTTGACAATTAGAACAAAAAGGCGTGTTGTCCCTTCTTTCTTTAAACCTGCTGTACTGGTACTCTCTCTTTTCTTTTCCTTTTCTGTTGTTGAACTGCTTTTTACCTCCACCTATCACCTGAGTGTCATCTTCTTTCACTTGAGCTTTTCCTTTTTCTATCATAAGGAAAGCTCCTTTAGATGTACTTTCTTGTCTAATAGCCTTTCTTTGCTCAACGGCTTGAAGAGAACCAACAAGTTCACTCAAAGTCATCCTTGAAAGATCCTTTGAATCTTCCAATGAGGAGATTTTGTGCTCAAATTTTTCTGGTTGGCTGACAAGAACTTTTTCAACAACCTTTTTTTCTCTGAGTTCTCCACCAAGGACCCTTATTTGGTTCACCGTCTTCATCACTCGGTCTAAATATTCCTTCACTGTCTCTGTTTCTTTCATCCTCAACACCTTGAACTCCCTTCTCAAGTTATTAATTTGGATCTCCTTGGTTTTTTGATCTCCTTGGAACTCTTCTTTGATTGTGTCCCAGGCTTCCTTTGCTGTCTCACAAGTAATAATTCTGTTGAAAATTTCATCTGACACAGACCCATGGGTACACGTAAGAGCCTTGTACCTCTTTGTAGACTCTTCTGTGTGCCTCTTGATCTTATTTAAAGTTGGGTTTTCTGGTAAGGCTGCAGGTTCCCTATCATTTTCAACAAAATCCTAAAGATCAAACGCCCTTAGGTAGGCCTTCATCTTCACAGACCAAGCAGAGTAGTTTTGGCCTGCAAAGTATGGAGTTTTGGGTGTGAAATTAGAGGATTCCATGGTTGAAATCACTCCCTCACGTGTTTACACTCGGATGACACGGTCCCTCCAAGAACAAAAGTGCTCTGATACCAATTGTTAGTTTGTAAACAAAGAGATGAAGATCTGGTAAGTGCAGAACTGAACTTTTCCATTGAACAAATCTGCTTTTTACAAGGAAATAAAGAAACTACTAAAAACTGAAAGTTAACTGCACTACAATGGAAAAACAAACTGGATTAAAAACCAACTAATAACTGCTACAAACTGAAAAAATAGTATGACAGCATTTGTGTCACTGTCTTTACATTGCTGTTTTCAGTTTCACGATGTTGTCATGGCTAAAGTGACAGATAACCGGACATGAGAAGAATTCAAGATGACATCGCCCATGACTTGGGTCTAGAGCTTCCTGATAGGGTTACAGACGCTGACCGAATGAAGTCAAGGCTGACAGACAGGAAGGTTCTTGTCACTTTAGATGACATCTGGGCAAGAATTGATTTGGAGGAAGTTGGAATTCCGCTTGGAAACAAGCACAAGCAGAAGCTGAAGCAGCCTGTAGAGGAAGAGAATGAGGAGATCTCATCAGTACAAGAACAAACGGAGTGCATTTTTCTGTTAACATCCAGAGATTCTGATGTTTCATCACGTGACATGCATGCTCATAAAATTATTGAAGTTCGCCCATTAAAAGAGGAAGAAGCAAGGGAACTTTTTGAGAAGATCGGAGGCAAACAAGCTAAAAATCTTATTTTGCAGCGTAGTGCAGAGAACAATGAGAAGATAGAAGGTGAGCAACGTATTAAAGAGGTAGATGAGATTGTCAAAGGTTGCAAGCAATTGCCCATCGCTATTGCAACAGTAGTAAGTAACTTGGAAAATAAGAATCTAATACAGTGGAGGACTACCATAAAAATGCTTCATTCTCATCAAAGGTCCTCCAAGCCTGAGGTAAACTTGAGTGGGATGTCACCAAGCCTTTGTTCAGCTATCAAGTTAAGATATGGTGATTTGAAAAGCAAGCAACTAAAACAAACTTGATTGCTTTGTAGTCTAATGGGTCATAATGCAGGCATTCAAGATTTGCTAGAATATGGCATAGGCTTGGGATTATTCCCAAGAGCCAACTCTATTGAGGCAGCAAGAGATGAAGCATTGAAATTGATGATGGATTGAGGAGAAGCCCTTCTTTGTTCCAAGAAGGGGCGACAATATGCATTTTGATATGCATGATTTAATTAAGACAGTTGCCATATCAATTGCTTCTCGGGAGCATGGCCTATTGGATTTGACAGAGGATGCAGCTAAGGACATGTCTGACAAGAAGGCAATGAAAGAGTGCAAATGGATTTATTTATCAAATGGTGATGCTAAACCTGCTAATCACCTTCCATATAGGTTGAAATGTCCACAGCTCACTTTCTTTCACTTAGCTAACAAATACCCTAATTTGAAAATTCCAGACAACATTTTTAGGGGAACAGATGAACTCAGGGTCTTGGGATTGACTAAAATGCAT